TACCCACCACTGTGACATGTTAAAAGAGCTAAACTGGCTATCGCTGGAATCCTGACACACTCTTCATCTTTCCTGCCTTGTGCATAAGAGCATTTCTGGGACGCTCCCACCCTACCTGAGTAGAATGCTCTCCCCGGCTGCTCCCACCTCCTATAACCTTCGATCCAGTACTAGCACGATATTTAGCATACCGCAATACAAAAATAAAGTGGTTCAATCCTCCTTTTCTTACAGAGCACCGCAATTATGGAATAACCTCAGGGACACAGTCAAATCTTCATTCAATCTAAAATCTTTTAAGAGATCTATGGCAATATACCTCAGCACAGAATGCACCTGTCATGGTTGAATATATTTATCATCTGTTATGTTTTAAATTTATATGTGTGTGTGTGTGTGTGTGTGTGTATATATATATATATATATATATATATATATATATATATATATATATATATATATATAGTTTGTATATTTTATTTTTTGTAATATTGTATCCTATTGTAACAGTGCAATGTTTTGTAGACCCAGGACATGCTTGAAAATGAGAGAAATCTCAATGTATCCATCCTAGTAAAATATTTTATAAATATATAAATAGATATGTACATCCATTCAACCTCGTATTGCATCAGAACTTTTCATGATTGCCCCCTCTGGTAAGAGGGGGAACATGTTCCAAAATCTGACATCTTAATTGGGTAATATTGTGGGTATCTTTCTGAAGTGCCTTGCAACTGGTTTATTAGATGTGGTACTACATATAGAAGTTTTATACTGTGACATTCTGTCCTTCAAGGCATGGATGGTTGTCTACATACTCAAGGCCACAAGGACACTTCAATCAAAATCTGACAGGTGAAGAATTTAATTTGATTTGAATCCCTCTTTGATAATGCAGTGTGAATACTGGGGGTGTTAGCAGAAGGTGCTGACCAGGCTTGAACCCTGAGTGGGCTCCCGAAAAGACCTAGGTCTAAGTTTTGACATTTGTTACTGTAAGATACCTTAATTCCTCACTAGACTGCCACCTAACTACCCTAATCACTCTCTAGACTGCCTCCTAAATAACCTATTCCCTCTCCAGACTGCATCTTAACTACCATAAGCTGTATCCAGACTGTTACCAAACTCCATAATCCCTATCCAGACTGCCACCTAACTACCCTAATCCCTATCCAGACTGCCTCCTAACTATTCTTATCTCTCTCCAGACTGCCACTTAAACTCCCTAATCCCTCACCCCTCTTCAGACTGCCACCTAAACTTCCTATCCCCTTTCCAGACTGCCACCTAACTAACCTAAGCCCTTTTCTGACGCCACGTAAACTTCCTACTCTCACTAGGTCTCCTGCATCCCCCATGCGCTGTACTTGTATTTCACTGTGTGTGTTCGTATATGTGTAACAGATTGTGTGTATGTGTATTAGTGTTTGTATCTGTGAGTATATGAGTCTGTATGTGTGTAATAGTGTATGTATCTGCGAGTATGTGTAACAGCTTGTGTGTATCTGAGTGCATGAGTGTTTATATGTGTAACTGTGTGTTATTTTTTGAGGGTATGATTGTGTATAATAGTGTGTAAGCATGTATTTGCAACATGGTTCGTGTATGTGTAACTGTGTGGGTCAGCCATATTATATTATACTGCAGGAACTTGGGCAGGGCAATGAGTTGAGATTGAGTGGTTTAAGGTAAAATATAAGAGAGGCTATCAAATATAAGTATAGACTTAAGTATCTGGTCTTTTTGTTACCTAGCAACAATCCTGGTGAATACCATCTGGCCCTGGGGCTTTGTGTACACTAACTTTCTTAAAGGAACACTTTAGGCACCTAGACCACTTCCTCTCATTGAAGTAGTCTGGGTGTACTGTCCCTGTCCCCTTAACCTGCAGCTTAACACATTGTAGATTTAGAGAAAAAGTTTAACACCGTGAAATGATGCTGGATGTCTTCTTCATTATTATTAGGTGGTTGGTAGCATATTTCAACCAATAACTGATTTCCCCTCTTTTGCCTCAAGCAAATATCAACCCATTGACATACTCAATAACCTCCTCAGTCCCTTTACATATCACCAGTGGCTGCAGTTATCCTTTATCACCTACACATCTGTGTTACAGCACCGGGTCACTCTCTCCCTCTGAACATTTTGGATATTGGAAGGCTCAGGAAGCAGGGGCACCGCCGATTGGCTGAAAATAGGAAAGACATTAAGTGGGTTCTTGAATAGACAGTGCTTCACTCCCCCCCCTTATCTGATTGCTATTTCCTGTCCTACTTACTTTATACTGTTGCCAGCATGTCCCTGCTTTTGTGTATCTTACCCCCTTTTCCCTTTTGTGCCTTTGCATCTCTTGTATCTCTTACCCCTAGCTTTTTGTCTCTTTTCTTTCCTCTTCTGTGAGCATCATGTGCCTGCTCTGTGCACCCCACCTGCTCTCACCTGTCACTTGAGAGTTAGTACGGTACATCACTGTACAACACAACTAATGGAACAAACAAATGCGCATGCACTCATAGGGCATTTCTGTGAAGATGGCCCAGTGTATCATGAGGCAGGAAAGTGGCTGGCAAGTCATCGCAGAACTGTTACTTCTAGAGAAGTGCCAGTATTTTTTTATGAGGCAGTCAAGGACAGGGGTCCACAAAATTGGGGATAAAATAACCAAGCGGTGCTGCATTGATATAGCTGTGTTGCAGAACTTTTCCACATGAGCTACTGTTGCCAAAAATTTGACATTTAGATTTCAAATAACTACAAATTAAAGTTTAGTAAATAACCCGGAGCAGTGTTCACTTTTTTTGCATATACTATAGTGGTATTGATTTTTTTCTTTTTTTCTTTTTTTTGTTGAGATTTTGACATTTATAAGCTTTTTTTCTTTTTCCATTTAAAAAAAAATTGAAAGGCATTTTTGGGATGCAAACTAAACTACGAACTGTTCCACTATCTACCACAAACGGGAGACTGTATTCACAATTTCGAGAACATTTAAAAACTTGTATATGGAATTATTTTCTGATCTGTAACTGTGAATGCACTTGAAGAATTTGCATACTATGTTGGCGCACTCAGTTTAGACAATAAAGTGGTTATGTCTATGATATATATTTACTTTGGTCAGATTTTGACAATTGTGTTTTGATCCAAAACTATTTTGTTGGCAAAACATATAGATTTTTTTCACATTACCTTTTTTTTGCTTAATAAAAAATATATAACTTTATCATTAACAGTTTGGTGAGTGCAGTGTTATTTTTGGTTTATATTATTCTAACATGCCAGGGTGGTTACATATAAAGGGGAAGTCTGGTTCTAAATGAAAAGCAGTTACCATGGAAATCAATTAACTGCCCAGATTGCTCCACTTTTAGAACTTTGTGCCAGAATTACTCATAATTGTTAACAACCCTCAATATACCTAATTTGCAGCATTAAGGCTATTATGACATCTGCTGTAGATGCACTGTTATATACCATGTATGATATGCCTGTTGAGAAATAAGGGTGCAGTAGAAAAATAATAACATTTACAAAGTTTTATTCCTGGTCTGATATCTTGGAGTGCTACATGTTTGTCTCTGCTATTTAAGACTGAAATCCAGTAAAACTGAAAATAATAAAAAAATATATATATATATATATATATATATATATATATATATATATATAAATGTAAAGTTACTCGTGTTTCTCTGAATAAACACGGTTTTAACACTCCACAGAATAATCACTAATAAATGCCAGTGACATTTACTATTTGTTCGTTTGTCTTCATGTTCGTAAAGTTTATTTGAAGACAAAAAAAAAAAACAACAACCTGAGAAACCGGAAAATAGAAAAAGAACGAGGCGTTTGAAGCCAGCGGAAGTGACGTATTTGGAGTTGTACCAACATGGCAGACAGTGAGAAACCCACATGGTCTGAGGAAGATGAAGGCATGGAAGGTTCAGGCAGTGATGAAGAAGACGACGATGATAATGATGAGATCATGGAGGAAAATGAAGAAGAGGAAAAGGAGAAAGACTCTCAAAGAGTGTATTTGCCCGGCGTGGCAGACTTGCAGGAGGGAGAGCAGCTTGTGATGGACGAGGACGCCTATGTGCTCTATCACCAGGCACAGACAGGTATATGTACAAACAGGGTGAAGGAACAACATTAGTTATGAGTAACTTAATATGTTCTGTGATCCTCCCTAATCGTAATAGCAGAACAGGTTCTGGTACACCCTGTGCATTGTAATTATTCCATTATTTCTAAAAGGTTAAATAATGTAAAAATTTCATATTTTCACTAAAGCAGTTCTGTCACTTTAGCATTTTTTTTGCATGGACATCCAGGTGACCTGTTCATTTACTAGTTGGTGCCAGGGGGTGTGATGAAAGAAAGTAGTTCTATTTACCTGGACCACCTAGCACCCTCATGTGTTCTTGGTTCAGGTCTTACAGGTTTACTCCAAGCATCATAACCACTAGAGTCTGCTTTTGGGTTCTGGTGCTGGGAACACCTCAATGCCGATTCTCAATTATAAGCAAACCATCTTGCAACAATTTGTCACATTCCTGGGTTTTGCCAGGTAGGAAGTTTAATAGAATGTGGGCAGAAGTCACCGCTGGTCCTGCCATTGGTTGAGAGAAACAGTTTATGAACATTTCCATCATTCCTAAGGATAGGGCACTGGTTAGATCCCCCCCCCCCACTTCCCCAGCCTGCAGAGTGACACAGTTGTCTCATTTAACCCCTGGATGTTGGGCTTGAAAGGCATCGCTACTCTGGAAATGTACCTTAATTTTACTAAATGATGTATCAACCCTATGCTGTAAATCACCTGTACTTTTCCCCTGCTTTTCTTCTGTACCCCATCTAATATGCCTTCAATAAAAGAAAGATTGACAAAAACCCATTTCTTTAGGAAAGCCTATGGCCTCCCAGACTAACCTCTACTTCACATACCTGTCTCTTGCTCTCTACTCTCTCCTCCAGCTCCGCTTCACTCCCACCTAATTTGACTATTTCCTGTCTTAATGTGTTTTATACCCCACCTCCTATAGACTGTAAGCTTGTTTGAGCAGGGCCATCTTCAACCTATCATTTACATAGAAACATAGAATGTGACGGCAGATAAGAACCATTCGGCCCATCTAGTCTGCCCAATTTTCTAAAAACTTTCATTAGTCCCTAGCCTTATCTTATAGTTAGGATAGCCTTATGCCCATCCCATGCATGCTTAAACTCCTTTACTGTGTTAACCTCTACCACTTCAGCTGGAAGGCTATTCAATGCATCCACTACCCCTCTCAGTAAAAGTAATACTTCCTGGATATTATTTTTTAAACCTTGTCCCTCTAATTTAAGACTATGTCCTTTGTTGTGGTAGTTTTTCTTCTTTTTAAATATAGTCATTTCTGTAAAAGTTTTCTTTGTAATTGTCCTATTTATATTAACTTCCCGATAATATTGTAAAGCGCTACGGAATCTGTTGGTGCTATATAAATGGCGATGATTATTATATAAAGCTAAAGTTTTTTAAAATGAGACACATGTCCAGTCTGGTATCTCCAAAAACGTTCCCTCCAGATGTTGCTGAACTAGAACTCCCATTATTTTCTGGCTAAGTATTCCATTGAAATAATCATGGTAGTTGTAGTTCAGCAGCATCTGAAGGGACAGAGTTTGGAGAACCCTAGTCTAGCTTTTGTAGACAATGTATGAATTTAATATACATTTAAAAAATGGAGGATGAAATGAAGGAAAAAAAAGCTTATACTAAGTCATAGATTTAAAATAATAAATGTATTAAAAGATGTAATTTCAAGAGTAGTGATAATACATTGAAATGCAAGTTATCACATCAATCTTCTATACAGTATATTATTTTGCATTTGTTATTGTTTGATCTTTTCAGATGAGTTCTATTTGAGCCAGTGCTAGTCATGTGCAACAGTGGGTAATTTACCGTCTTTAATTGTTTAACTTTGTGTTTGGTTTTCAGGTGCTCCTTGTTTGAGTTTTGACGTGATTTTAGATAGTTTGGGGGAGAACCGTTCAGAATATCCTTTGACCATGTATCTTTGTGCCGGAACTCAGGCAGACTCTGCACAAGCCAACAGGTAGGACAATTGTTTTGTGTACATGCAGGTTGCGATGCATTCCATCATTAAAGTAGTGCACTGCAGAAGCCTCCTTTTGATCTTTACAAGGGTCCACGGAGGAATAGGTTGTTCACCACTTGATAAGATAACTATTCCCACCACAGATTACTAGTATGAAAAAGGTAGTTTGCTTCAGGCACAAGTTGATTGAAGCTTCACATTTTGCCCAACATCATTTTGGCATAAGATGCCTGTGTTTTTATACTTTTTTGGCAGTTATTTATTTATTTTTTTCTATTTTAATATTGACATTTGTTACTCTTGCCTTGCTTAGAAAACAAATATCGCAGTCTGCCCCCACCCCCCCACCCCACTGATTTCCCTCGGCGCTGGGTCAGACTGCCCATGCTTCTCGGCGGGGGGAGGAGACAAGACCTAATGCGCATGCGCAGCAATGGCTGCGCTTGCTTTAGGATTTCCCCATAGGAAAGCATTATTCAATGCTTTCCTGTGGGGTAAAATCTGACTCCGAAGGTTCTCATGAGGTCATCCAGAGTCAGATACCAGACCAAAGGTCCGTTTCAAACCAGGAAGCCTTCTAGTGTCTGGTAGACAGCAACTAGAGGTGGGGTTAACCATGGATAGTAATTATTGCAGTTTCTCCATAAGAGACATGGCACCCAGACCACATCAATGAGCTGAAGTGGTATGAGTGTCTACATTGTCCCTTTAAGTACAGTGTCACATTTTAGAACAGCTGGCATACTGGGAAAGAACTGTAGTGGTTATGGTGCCAACAGTGCCCTGGCACCTTCCTTTGATAAGTAGTCAGACCATTTTCAAATGGTTTGACAACTTACCTGGGGTCTTTTGGGAGCCAGTTCTTCTGCAACTGGAAGCGGTTAGGAGTACATGGCTGGCTCATTGACGGCACACTGGAACAGGAGGAGACAACCAGACTGTACCGGTTATGGAGCTTGGAGTTATTCCTCTTACAATAGACTATTTTAATCCTTATTACTTTTGTTACTGCATAATAAGTTGATTTCAACCCTGTGTTTATGTAGAATGCTAGTAATGAAGATGCACAACTTGCATCGAACAAGTAAAGAGAAGAATGAAGATTCTGAATCAGAAAGTAGTGATAGTGAGGAGGAAGAAGATGAAGAAGAAAAAAAGCCCCGATTGGAACTGGCAATGGTACCACATTATGGTGGTATAAACCGGGTCCGAGTAAGTGCAACTAGAATTTTTTATTTATTTTTTGCATTACTTTGTTTGATTTTTTTTTTGATTTTTTTTTATGCAAACAGTGAAGTGAATGGTATTGGGATGTAATGGTATATTTTAATAACTCAAATTAACTTACATTAAATAAACCTTTTAATATTCTCCTACACTACTGTGAGATATAGTCAGATGGATAGTAATGACTGCGAGCACAGCTAGACAGAGGTGCAGATCAGGATAATGTCTGGGCTTGCACTTTTCTTCCCTGGCAAGATGTCACCAACTAAGGAGAAAGTCGTAGATCTATCTTCAAACAAATATCGGAAAGGTACACTACTCAGTATGCACCATTTGGTAATAAATATAAAAGAAACAAATTGAAACCAATGTGGCTTAGTGGGACGGTAAACCAAGAAACCTTAAAAAAAAAAAAAGGCTTTTAAATCAGACAGATCAGAGACCTCTTATATAAGATGTAAGAAAGCCACTAATGCAGGCCAAAACGCAATTAGATGGGCCAAATTAGAAAATAAGAAAGTGAAAAAATAAATTAAATTGTAGGTAAACTAAAAACAGAGATGGGTGTGTTAGTTAGCGAAAACCAGGAAAAGCCAGACATTTCAAATAACAATTTACCCTTTGTATATATTAAGGAGAATTCTATGGCAAGAGATATGCAAATTATTGCTGCAAAAACCTGCAGTAAAATTGTGTGTTGATGAGTAAAGACAAAGTACGTCCAACAAAAAATGGTTAACTACCTCGGACGTACCTGGTACGTCCGCGGCAAATGTGAGCGCTTCCAGCCACTCTAACGGTAACGGTATTGCAGCGATGCCTCGATGTCGAGGCATCCTGTAATACCTCCCCTGACTGCTGGGCCGCCGGGTGATCGTGGCGCCCGGCAGTGTAGCAGAGCATCGGAAGCAATCAGGCAGAGTTCCAGTGCTCTGCCTGTGTGCCGAGTGCCTCTAGGGGTTGAGGCACTCAGTGAAGATAAAATAGTAAATAAAAAAAAAAATTGTAATCTATGCATTAAACCCCCCCAACAGGACCGCGGACGTACCTACTACGTCCGCGGTATTTCTATGCACTTTCCCGATTGCCGCTGTTCCCTCGCTGGCAATCGGTCTTCCTCTCCGTCTAGGGGACTGTCTTATAGCCCAGACAGTCCCCCCACGGGCCATATGATCCATCTGAAAGAGCGGTCACATGGCCGCAATAGGCGTCCATAGTGTTGCCTGCAGGGGGACTGCCTGAACTTTGCCAGGTATATGTGGATGTTAGAGGGGCACATTTGAGATGCAGCCATTGGTTTGTTTTTTTCTAACTTTAAAGTTTTACAGTTTGTCCATGTTTTATTTCAGAGTAGTTTAGCTGGTTGGTTATTCAAACTTCCCCACAAACACATACTATTTATTAAAGAATACACCTCAGGGTAATTCAAAAGGCATATTTTGAACCTTAGCGTGTGATTATTTTTTTTTCTAGTTTGTTACAGGTGTAGTGGTAATGAGCATTTTTTTTTAATGTATTTTTTTGTACTTTTTAAAACTTTTAACTTTTTAAAAAAAATTCATAAACTTTTTTTTTTACCGTTAATCCCTAACTAGCAGTAAGCAGCACTAACAGTAAATTCTCAAATTACCCATAACTCCCACCCACTCCAGCTAGCAAAATATAATTTTAAAATATTAAAATTTAATTAAATAAATTGAACCCCTGAGGGTTAAATGACCGTAAAATGTAGTCCCTGCCAATTGATTACTGTAGTCCGTGATCATTTGGCATGGAAGGGGTTAATTTTATTAAAGCAGAGGTAAGGGGGGATTTTACGTTAACTTAAGATGAAAACCTCCTTTATATCTCAGTACTTTAGTGCCAGCAGTTCATTCTGGCAGAGAGCTGCTGTTTCCCCCCCTTCTTATTTATTTTTCCCACTAGAGCCTTTGGGAAACCTGTGCGACTCTTCCGAATAGTGCCACGGGCCATGGTTTCGAAGCTATACAGCATTTTTAAAAGTGGGATGCTATTATAAAAATGATCAATATACAAGTGATAACCTTTGTTGAGTAATGGCGTTATTAAGTCCCAGACAATTTTCACACTTGTCCCTATTATATCTGGGCAACCTGGGGGATCAAGGTGGTTACATGGAAGGTGTACACATTTGCCACTTTCACACAATTTTATAAAATTTGATTCCATATCGGGATCTTTTGGATGGGATGTACTGTCTAAACCCCAGTCTTCCCTTATACTTCATGAGGGACTCATTAGTAGAAATTACCTTTTTTGGGGGTATAAATAGTGGCAAATTTATCGTTCAAGTGGGCAATTAGAGGGCGTATTTTATATAGAAGATCTTACTGCGGATGACCTTTTGGGGGGCACTTTGTATTGTCACTAAAGGGCACAAATCTCAGTATGTCTTCATATATGTCCCTACTCATTGTCTGTGAAAAAATGGGGGTATTGCAAATAGGATTTTTAGGCCAATACATCCTAATTGTGGGCTTTTTAATTATCCCCATTAGCATTGTCAGTGCCTAGAATTGTTTCATTTCTGGCACACTGGTTGGGTTCCATCTCTCTTTCCTGGCGATAATAGATTCCATGCAAGATACTGCTCAGCGTACAGATTAGTTTGGGTGACTATTTCCCCAAAAATCTCATCCCCCAAGAACAGCTGCATACAATCCAGTGCATTATAGCCAAACAGGTCAGCCTGTATGCCAGGATTGGCAGTGAACTCTGGGATGTCTGGTGAAAAATTACTAGGGGGTATCCAGTCATCTGTGCCATGTTCGGCATTAGGGGAATCAGCAATTTCTCCTGGTGGTCCTGCAGTATCTGGCACATAGTCCCTGCCTCGGAGTCGGCTGCTAACAGGGCATAAGCCTCCTCTGCGCTATACTTCCTAAACATTGTCTACTACGGTAATAAACTTTAACTAAATAACTAAACTTTAATTTTTTATTTTTTATTTTACCCCTAACTAGCTTATCACTAAATTCCACCCACCCAACTCACTAAATCACAAATTAATAAAATATTAAAATTTAACCCCTGAGAGTTACTAAGTCACCCGTCATTAAGGGGTTAACAGTACCCCCTATGTACAGGTTTTATGGTGTTTAGAAAGTTACAGGGTCAAATATAAGGCTTGATTTTCCGTTTTGGTTTTTTTTCCTCATTGAAATTTGCCAGATTGGTTATGTTGTCTTTGAGAGCGTATGGTAGCCCAGGAATGAGAATTACCCCTATGATGACATGCCATTTGCAAAAGAAGACAACCAAGGGTATTCAATATAGGGTATGTCAAGTCTTTTTTTAGTAGCCACTTAGTCACAAACACTGGCCAAAGTTACCATTCATAATTGTTTTTTGCATTTTTAACACACAAACAAATATAAATGCTAACTTTGGCCAGTGTTTGTGACTAAGTGGCTACTAAAAAAGACTGGACATGCCACGTATTGAATACCCTGGGTTGTCTACTTTAAAAAAATATGTACATGTGAGGTGTGATTCAGAGATTAATGACAGATAACAGTGTTACAATGTCACTATTGATACATTTTAAAAATATATATTTTGAAACTGCCAATGTCCAACTTGTACTTATAGCCCTATAACTTGAGCCAAAAAAAAAAAAAAGCTAAGAACATGTTAACATTCGGTATTTCTAAACTCAGGACAAAATTTTAGAAACTATTTAGCACGGGTGTATTTTGGCGGTTGTAGATGTGTAACAGATTTTGGGGGTCAAAGTTAGAAAAGGGGTGTGTTTTTTTTTGTTTTTTCATTTATAAAAAAAGAATTCTTAAAGTATATGATGGCAATAATGGTAGAAAGACCATTTAATGTAGAGGAAAAACAGTATATAATATGTGTGGGTACAGTAAATGAGTAAGAGGAAAATTACAGCTAAACACAAATACCACAGAAATGTAAAAAAGCACTGGTCCTTAACGGTAAGAAAATTGAAAAACTGTCTGGTCACTAAGGTCTTAAAGAGCTAGGTGTGGATTTTTTTTCAGGAGTTGTACCGGAAGATTAGAGGATGGCGAATGTGGTTCCTATATTCAAAATCTTTGCCTAGAAGTTATAGACCTGTGAGCTTAACTTCTGTGGCTAGGAAAGTATTTGGAGGGTTATCAAGGGATATTCATTAATTCATTGGGAAGAACATTAGCAAAAATCAGCATGGTATTATGAAACGTGTCATGTAAAACTAACATAATTGCATTCTATGAAGAAGTGAGTCGAAGTGTAGACCAGAGTGTTGCAGTACATGTGACCTATTTATTTTGCCATGGCTTCTGATATGGTTCCACACCATAAAACTAAAAGAAATTGGCCTAGATGAAAATTCTTGTTCTTATGTAGAACATTGATAGAGTACAGAGTTGTCATTAATGGTACATTTTTCAAGCAGGACAAAAGTGGTCATTGGTGTCCCTCAGGGTTGTGTTCTAAGGTGTCTTCAATTTAACATTTATAAATTATCTTGAATTAAGTCATGTTTCTGTGTTTGCAGATGACACAACTCTGTAAAGTAATACTATGTGAGCAAGATATTACTTTGCTGCAGAGGGATTTAGATTGTGGAACTGGGCACTCAAATGGCAGATGAAATGTAAAGGTATACTATAGTGCCAGAAATACAAATCTGTATTCCTGGCACTATAGCTCCCTTGTGCTACCCCTTTACTTAGCTGATCCCTTGGCGATGAGTCATGGCTCCGACTCCTCTGACGTCCCTCGATGAGTGGATGCTAATGTGCATGCGCAGCGAGTGGCGCACATTAGGTCTCCCCATTGGAAGGCACTGAATCAATGCTTTGCTATCGCAAAATAGCTTACGCTAGATGTCCTCATGCAGGGGGAGCTTTTTGGTAGACGGCCACTAGAGGCAGACTTAGTGCTGCTATGTAAACATTGCAGTTTACATAGCTGTACCCAGACCAATTCAATGAGTTCAAGTGGTCTGGGTGTCTATAGTGTCTCTTTAATTGAGACAAATGCGAAGTTATGCACTTCGTAAAAAAAACACATAAGAAGGATTAGGGAATTGCTGTAGACCTCAAACTAGGCAATAATGTGCAATGTCAATCAGCAATAACTAAGGCTTTAAAGGAGTATTCATTCTCAGGACAAAAATGTAATTTTACCTGTTTCTCAATCAATGGTTAGACCACACCTTGAATATGCTGTGCAATTTTGGGCACCTGTTAAAGGGGGAAAAAAAGAAATGGCATTATGGCACTAAAGAGAGAAGCAGAAGGAGGCTACACAATAAAATGAATTGTACAATTTAGTAATGAAGAAAGGGTAAGAAGTTTCAGTCTCTTTAGTTTAGAAAAATGACTCCTCAGAGTGAATATGATAGCATTATACAAATATATTTGGGGCCAAACCATTGGCTGGAAATCTATTTAAACAGGATTGTACATAGGACACACAGTCATGCATTTATTTAGACTGGAAGAAAGGATATTTAGTCTATGGCAAAGGACAATAAGAATGTGGAATTTCTGCTCGAATAGGTGGTTTTATCAGAGTCTGTACATATGTTTAAACAGCAACTGGATAAATACTTGCAAAAACAAAATTCCGTGATATAATTTTTAATTTGTGGAGTAATAGATTCTTGATCAAACTAGAAATCTGACATTTGGGCATTTTTTTTTTTCTCTTCAAACTGGGGGGGTGCCTTCTTTTGGATCCATGTCTCATTTCAGCCTATGCAACTATATCAGAGTAGTGGTATGTGATTTAAAGGACCACTATAGTACCACGAAAACAAACACTTTTTTTCTGGCACGATAGTATTAATAGGTCCCTCCCTCCCGCTGGCCTCTAGGGTACTCTCCTCCCTCTTCCGCTGAATGCGCATGCGCGGCAAGAGCCGCTCGCACATTCAGTCAGTCCAAAGGAAAGCATTCTCAATGCTTTCCTATGAAGGCTGGCGTCTTCTCATTGTGAAAATCACAGTGAGAAGCGCCTCTAGTGGCTGTCAATGAAGCTGCCACTAGAGGCTGGATTAACACACATGTAAACATAGCAGTTTTTCTGAAACTGTTTACAGCAGGCAGGGTTAATCCTAGATGGACCTGGAACCCAGACCACTTCATTAAGCTGAAGTGGTCTGAGTGCCAATAGTGGTCATTTAAATTCTAGCACGATAATAGGTTGTTGTAATTTAGCACCATTACTGGTTTTACTGATGCAAGTAGGAACCATAATAACAGTCTAAACTTGGTGATAACATGAACAGTTCTTAACTAGTATCACATGGTTTATATACACAGTAGATTTACATTTGGTTACTATTGCACCACATTACTATGAGTTGACAGACCTTTTATTGGCTTCAGTACTGACTTATCAAATCCTTAAATGGTCAGTGCATGAATCCAGATGTTCTCCGAGTTGTTTGAATTATAATTTTTCCCTGTATGCATTTCCTGGTAGCCGGATCATTCTGTTTTGTATAGAGTGCTACCTTTATAGAATAATATAAATAATAGATCTTATAGAAATTTTGTGGAGTTGTACTTTACAGCCCTACATGTAAATCCAGTGCTAAAACTTGAACTATCACTTTACGATGCAACTGTAAAATGTGGTTTGGTTGTAGGACATGTAACTAATGTTGTGATGGAATTTTATAGGTATTCTGTTGACTTTTTCCTAGGTTGCGTCTCTTGGTGATACACCCATGGCTGCTGTCTGGTCAGAAAAGGGTCAAGTTGAGATTTATGATCTACAGAAACAGATTGCAGCAGTGTCAGACTCTCAGAGACTTGCTGCTTTTCTGAAAGAGGAGCAGTCCAAAATCAAACCAATGTTTTCATTTTCTGGGCACATGACTGAGGGTTTTGCGATGTCCTGGTCACCAAAGACTCCAGGTATATTACCCATTTATTCCATACAGATAAAATGTATAGACACTGCTGCATATGTATCAAATTCTAAAATAAACATTGCAAATGTGTTACAGAAAGGTGCTTTACTTCTGTGAGTGGTATTTTTGTTACCAGATGATGACAAAGTGGCATTAAATGGACACTAGGCACCATACCCACTTAATCTCCATGATGTGGTGATGTCTGGAGTCCCTCGGTGCTGGATCATAATTAAGTGTTAAAATTCCTACTTTCCTTTTTTTAAAGGAGCACCATAGGGTCAGGAACACAAACTTATATTTCTGACCCTATAGTGTTAAAACTAATATCTGGCCTCCTCTTGCCACCCTTAGATATAGTAAAATCTTACTTGTATTCAAGTCTGCAGCTGTCATCTCTGCCCCTGTTTGCCTGTGACTCTGCCTGCTGGCATCATCAGAAGTGATCTGAGTCAGTCACAGTGCTTCCCCATAGGATTGGCTGAACATGTCAAGGAGGCAGATCAGGGGCAGAGCCAGCACAAGTCAAACACAACCCTGGCCAATTATCAGCTCCTCATAGAGATTAATTGAATCCATGCAATGAAAGATCAGTGTGCATGCAGAGGGTGGAGACACTGAATATTGTGCTGCACATTAGGCAGCACTGCCCCAGGACGTACTACTGATAGCCATCTGAGGAGTGGTTAGTGGAGGGATCACTAGGCTGTAATGTAAACACTGCATTTTCTCTGAAAAGACAGTGTTTACAGCAAAAAAAGCCTGAAGGCAATGATTCTACTCACCAGAAAAAATGCAATAAGCTGTAGTTATTCTGGTGACTCTAGTGTCCCATTAAATTACTTATTTTTGAGGAGGGCATGCCACTAAAGGTCACTCCAACCAAGAATAGGGTTCTATTAACACAATGTCAGTTTTCAGTACCCAAAAAAGTGATTTGCACTAAACCGTTTTTTTTTCTTTACGATTAGTTCTATGTGGATTTTATGTCTGTGCTTTACTCATCCTAGGACGTTTGATTACTGGTGACTGCAACAAGAACATTCACATGTGGAATCCAGTTGAAGGAGGAACATGGCATGTTGATCAAAGGCCTTTCACAGGTCACACCAAGTCTGTTGAGGATCTGCAGTGGTCACCCACTGAAGCCACGGTAATTGGAACACAAATCTCACTGCTGACACATGGTTCAATTATAACTTGACTTTCTAAAGCAATATTTATATACTTCAATATTTCAATCTACTGTGAACATTGTCCTATACTTTGGCAGCTTCTTTGTAGCAGGAGAGTCGGTCCACTTCCTTGCTTGTCTGTGACAGTTCCAGGCTTAACATGGTCTGTTTTGTCTATCAAATACAAGATTATTTGGAGAACAACTGTTAATTCTCCTGCTATCTACAGGTTTTTGCCTCCTGTTCAGTTGATGCCTCTATTCGTATTTGGGACGTTCGAGCTGCTCCCAATAAGGCATGCATGTTAACAGCCAACCAAGCTCACGACAGTGATGTTAACGTGATCAGCTGGAACCGCCAGGAACCATTTATCGTTAGTGGTGGGGATGATGGCGTTCTCAAGATTTGGGACCTGCGGCAGTTTCAAGTGAGTGTCTGATGTACAAGAGACTGATTTAAAAACTTGGATGGGTGTTGGTTGGCTCTCCACCTGTTAGTGTTAAACAATTTCTTGCTTGCTTAAAAATAGCTCTTAGCATGCTTATATGTCCATAAAGTTCTGATCTGGTGGTACTCCATGATGGGCTTTCCAGTTATTGCTAACTTTGATATTGACCGCATATATGTATATTTTCTTTGATATTTAGCTGGTTTGAACATCATGAAAATATAGTGTGCCATGGTAAGCTATCACTGCTGTATAGGCTGCAGCACCACCGCTATACTAAACCCAATTGTGAAATGGTGGGACAATCTTAGAAGAGGTGATAAACAACATACTAAAGAAGAATGGAAGAAGAGGAGTAAATGTCAGGTTTAGTGAGCCACTGTTGTAAAAGCACTATATCAAATCAATTTTAAAAAGAGAACAAAAAGTTTTACATAGCTGCATTCCCTCAAAGTTACTTGGGAATTCAGTGCATGATATTTGGATTTTGTCCACAGCAGACACTGGTGTTACTGGTACTCCTTTTATTTTACTCTAGAGGGGTATCTGGGTGATGAGATTCTTTAATATATCACCAGCATTTTGTGTGTATTTTGTGCGTTTTTAGTTTTGCAACATGAAATCAAAAGTATATGATGACATGTGGAATTATCTGCCTGCAAAGTGGTTTTATTGGAGTCTGTACAGACGTTTAAACAGCAACTCGATTATACTTGCAAATACATAATATTCAATTATATAATTTTTATAATTTTTTTTTAACTGTAGGGTAATACTTTTTGATCCAAGGATAAATTTGACTGCCATTCTGGGGTCAAGAAGGAATTTGTTTCCTAGTTTGTTGCAAAATTGAAAGTGCTTTAAACTGTGGTTTGTGTTTTTTGTTTTTTTTTGTCTTCTTTTGGATCAACTGCAAAAAACTGATGTCAGGAAGGTTGAACTTGATGGACACAGGTCTCTTTTCAGCCTATGTAACTGTGCATAAGACATTAAATATTCACTTTCATATAGCATGGCACACCAGAAAGGCTGCAGGTTCCCCCAACAATGTGTCAAACTGTAAAATGATTGGCTGCATACACTCTTCGTGGGACCAATGGCACTATAACAATTACAGTGTACTGTGGTAGTTATGGTACTTAGAGTATCTCTTCAAGGCTCCAGTGCTTTGTAACTATCCTAACCATATATTTTTTTTTCTCTCTTCTCTCGTTAGTGGATATGTTGAATCCTGCTCAGGATTGGATTCATTTTGCAATGTAAAACTAAAATGCAGATTACAGACCCGCCTCGTATTTACAGGGCAGAGAAACAAGTTACGGTGGATGGGCTGTAGTCAATACTCTCCATTTCCCAGAAGTAACCCCTAGTGCACCGTACAGAAGCCTGCAAGGCTCAATATACAGTGTTACATGAATTGAGCATATCGGGGAAAGGTTTATATAGGCACATTGTTTGCCTATATACAGATGCGCTTATTTTTACTTTTTGCTGTAATTTGTCTAGTGCGTGGTTTTCAAATTTCCCGTCCCAGGTTTTGAATAAATGTTTAGGGATTTCTATAAAATATTTGGTATAGAACTGTGTAATGGGTGGGGTTATTTTAATTACCTTGTTTAAGGGATAGACAGATTATCTGCCAATATTCCAGATTTTGTCAAATATCTGTATCTGCCACTATTGATACTGATATTGCCGATAATGTAAGACGGCAGTGGCCCAGCGCACGTATGGCTGGTACGTCCATAAGGCGGAACACGCGCCCGCATTAGGGTGCATCGGCTCTGGGATGAAATAATCAAGTGACCGGTAGGAGGTGGTAGAGTGGAGCAAAGTAGACCGTGGTACAGGAGCTTGTTTCCTGTACCCGGCCAGATGGGCAGGAAGTGCTCACTGAGGGGGGAGACAGGAACACTAAGCTATTGGGGTGGGGGGGGGAGAGGAACATTAAGATATTCTTGAAAACAAAACAAATCTGACACGACACGTGTGTATTGTGCATTTACCACTTAATTAAATGTTTTAGTTAACAGTAGATTTGTGTAGAAAGTTTTTCAAAATGGTAAATGTACAAAGTATCTGTAAGTTATCGGCTATCTGCCTGAAAGTTCAAAGATTATCGTATCAGCTCTAAAAAAAAAAATTAAAAAAAAAAAAAAAAATCCGTCGATCCCTACCTTGTTTTGTAAAGTGTCATTGTATAGGTCTGCTAATAAGTTAGATGTATCACAAATGTTATTTTAATGTTTTCTGTGTAGACTGCTCGAGATGCTACATTTTAGTGTTTGCATTACATTTAATATGTTCTTCATCTACAGAAAGGAGTCAGCGTGGCAAAATTTAAACAGCACACAGCCCCCATCACGTCGGTTGAGTGGCACCCCACAGACAGCGGTGTGTTTGCTGCAGCAGGTGCTGATGACCAGATAACTCAGTGGGATCTTGCTGTGGAAAGAGATCAAGACCAAGAAGGTGAAACAGAGGATCCTACCTTGGCAACCATTCCTGCACAGCTATTATTTGTCCATCAAGGAGAAAAAGACATTAAGGAACTACACTGGCATCCACAATGCCCAGGGATAGTCATTAGTACAGCCCTTTCTGGCTTTAATGTCTTCCGTACGATCAGTGTGTGAAAATAGCCTTTGTCCTCTATCTAATGTGTGCACATACTAAGTTTTTTCCTGGCGTGTTTAAGCTGCCTATGTGGTAATAGTATGTATGTCTTAAATTGTATTCTGGCTGAGGTCACCTTATTTATGGACATCCCTAAACTTCCACCATACATAATTAAGCAGGCTTTGAGCTGCAAGTTAGTCTCCCCTACAGTGTGATTCTAAGAGGACTGAAGATATGAAAACTGCACTGTTGGTAAAGGCTAATTGAATGATAATTAGTGCTCTTCTGAATTGGAGCAGGATCTGTTAAGACATTACAAACACTTGGAAGGCACCTATTAGCCCTATTCATTAGCCTGTCATTAAACACTGGCCCCTGGGGATGACCACAACAATCTGAAATATCTGTATCTAAACATTTTAAAATGTTTGCAGTTCTCCAATGCTAAGGTATTCTAAGCTGCTCTTATAATTATGATTAACCTCTTGGAATTCAAATTAACACTTTAAGTGTTGGGTTATAACTAATTCTTATTATATATTTTTCTAAAACGGACATTGTGGATTTAAGAAACCTAAAGGTCAGTCACTGACTTTTCAATCAGGAGCTAGCTTTACTTGTACAATTTGTATGGGTTGTGAGAAACTAAAAGGATGGTGTCAAAAAGTGGATTTTAAAGCAAAAACTAAAGTGAGAATTCAAGGTGAATTTTAAATTTAAGGTAAAAGTAGCTACGTTGGAAGCATAGTGGACTTAACTCTGCAAAATAAAAATTGCATCTTGAAAACTAAAGGACTACTGCACCCAAGTTACTACATTGAGAGTGGCCCTTTAAAGAATGTATCCAGTACTGCTGTTTACCTTAAATGTAAAAATCACTTTTCACTAAAGTGAAAAGCAAGGCAAATTTAAGGCCACGTTAGCCAAACTGGAAGCCTATTGTATGTGGGGAATTTAGCCATTTCCGTTGAATGGTCTAAAATTTGAAATACACTTTAAATTTGCTTTGAATCTCACTTTGTGAATATCTGTTTATTACACTTTCAGGAATCTGATACTTCTATTTTAAAATAAAAATGTGAATCTGTTTGGCAGACAAGTCTTTCCATGGAATGTCGTTATTGGGAATCACGCTACCTTATTTCAAAAGATAAGATGTAAAGGGTTTTATTTCATTGTACATTGCAGTCTTCAAAGTCTAATCTCCAAAAATCACTAATTTGCCTAATTTCACATTAATGGATATAGATCCAGGTGAACTGTGGATTACTGTGATTTGTAGTATTACAGGACTTGGTATTACTTGGTGCATCCCCAAGAAGGGTAAACATTTACAGTGATGTCAGTACCACTGACTTCATTGCCAGTGTCAGAAGGGAGTCACATCAACTCACTCAGTTCCTATACTACATTATGAGATTGGCACCCTGAGCCATTGACTAACATCTGGGAGAAGAGCCTATTTTTAAATAGGGTTTTTCTAGCAAAATTGTACACACAATGTAGCTAAAAGTTTAATGAGCACAAGATTGTGCAATCCTTGAGTTCTCTTAGCTGTTCTCATAAGTTGGCAAATTAGACATTACATTTCAACTTGCCTACTTAGAATTTGGAGGCTTTTATATTTTAACATACAAATTTGTCTTGATTCCAATTTACACATTGGTTAATTCTGATTTTGTAAAATTAAAATCATGTACTAATTTTACAATGGAGCTTAGTAAAGTAATAAACAGCCAATGTTTTTAATGTATTGCCATTGTACATTTAGCTAATTTAATAGGACAGGAAAGGTAAGATTTACAACTATCTGTTGGGCCTGGCAAATCTGGCTTCTTCAAAGCAGTTTTGACTCTTTATATTTACATATTGCTGTATGGCTTTTTCAAACTACCTTGAGTTACTGAAGACCATTATTCAGTCTTTTGGATTTTAATTTTGCACAAAATATTTAAAATTTACAACCCACAAGGGTAAATTTAAAGTCTCAGTGTATGCTTCCACAGTGTGCTATTACACTTCCTACCATTATCTATACTAGTACTTTATTTCTGTACCAATCACCTTTCGAATAGTAGCATTTGTTTGGTTCTCTGTTTGTGCATGTTATGTGCACTTGGGTAATATGGAATATAAACCTCTGATTATTGGATTTGTGTTTAAAAATTTGACCACAATATTCACTGCATGGTTTCTGCACCAGTAGCAGGGGAGAGTTATTGCACGACTGCACAAATGTATTATCCACAAACTTGTTTTATTGAATCCCTGACCACTGCAAAGATGTGTAATTCACTGTTCCCTCATTTGGTGAACAAAGTAGTACAGTTTTTTTGACGTTGGTGCCCAGCCGTCCAGCAGTGATGATGTCAGTCATGGGAATATCCTTGTTGTAGGGATAGCAGATGATAATGAAGTGAGCATGGAATCTCATAGGGTCACCTAGAAGAAGAAATTCAAAAGGGATTTTATTTCTGCTCATCCACTATCTCCTTATGGCACTGAAATAGTGGAAAGTCAGAGCTATCTCATTTTAAAGATACATTAAAACAACAAAAAGCCTACCCCATCAAAGTGAAAATTTGATTAAAAATAATGTTCCAATCCACTGTGCTTTTTTTTGCCTACAAGACTCGTCCTGTGTATTCCCTAGATGATTCAGGGAATACCTGGAAGAAATCTAAATAGACAATACTGTAAAAGTATACATTTTTTTTGTTCAGATTATATTGTATTTTCAATACAATCATAGCTTCAAGTCTGCACTCAAAATAAAGTCTAATGGTAACCACAGAAATTAATTGGTATTTATATAGTAGATGTGAGACATTCCCTTGCTCCAAGTTGCTTTTAAAGAAAATGAATGAGAAAATATTTGGTGCCGCCTCCTCCAATAGGGGGGGGACCCTAATGCACATGCGTGGCAAGCAGTGTGAGTGCATTGCCTCAATGATTTCCAATGGGAATTTCACTGAAGCTGGGTGTACTCATACAGAGCGTGAGGACATCCAGCATAACTTAGGCGAGCTGAAGTCTTAACATTCACAAAGTGCCTCTAGTAGCCATTAGAAACAGTTTCTTTAAAACTGCAATGACTATTTTACCGTCAGGTGTTTGTCGTGGTTTGTGCACAATATTGTATTACTCACATGCATTTAGTTTCTTTCATAGCAGCTTGTTTTGGCTTGTGTGTAAGTGTACAGCATACTATTTGTTGAACTCACCAACACCTGCTGGATTTTTTTTGAGACTTAATTTATCAATTCATATATCTATAATCTAACTCTGGGGAAAAAATTATACACACAATACATATCACGGTTTAGTGAATATACCTTCAATTAAAATATGCATGCGTTTGATTAATTTTCCATTGCGGGTATATCTGATGCAACCTTTGCAAGCCTTCTCCACCAGCCCAGACTTTCTGTGGCTGTCCACTCAGTTCTCAATGTGGCTCTATGGAGCTAAACAAATCAGGAAGTAACAGAACTGATTGTCTGACAGCCAGGGAGGGGCAACAAGGTTAATTTATAAAAGGTGCCCATTTGTTAAAAATAATAAAATACACACTCAAAGCATTTGATCCCTTTATAATTTCTCCACAATTCCCAATTTAGCTAGAATAGTTTTACCTCTTGCAAGCTTGCCTAGTAATGCATTACTGGATAAGCACAACTACTCTGTCAAAGCGCCAACTTGTCAGTGCACTCTGATTGAAACTCAATGTGGAGGAATGAAAAAAAAAAATATATATATATTTTTATTTTATTTTTTTCCTCTCTCTTCTCTACAGGTTAAAATATATGATGCAGGAGAGGAGTCTGCTCCCTGTTGATGTTAAGGCAGCCCATGCTAGAAGCCAGATGGGTCTGCTTGACATAAACATGGATGTCTGTATTGTGAGAAGTACTGAAAAGCTCTGCAACTTGCAGTCTGAGCTGCATTCATACCAGTGTGTTATATAGAAGAAGCAATCTATTTGCGGATTCTAAATAGAGCAATCTGTACTTCTATGCACTTGGGACTAGACTGTACAATAAAATGATCAGGTTAGAAATATAAAAAACTATTTTTCAACGGAGAAAAGAAGAAGAAAAAAGAAAAACCAAGCATCACACTATTTTCTTTTAAAACCATATCAAGATGCAATGGAGTCCCTAAGGCTCCTTTTTGCTGTGTTGTGAACAAACTATTGCTGCCAGAAGTCAGATAACTGCCCTCTATTAGTTTCGCTCTACCGCTGGGAAAGAGCTTCACTCCAGAAATACCTAAATTCATTTTTCACTTGACAAAAAGATAAAGACTATTTCGAGAAGGTTTGTCATACTGCTGCCTTATCCAAAAATCATCTAACATTATAAACATATTGTATATTTTTTTTTTAAGTTGTACAGTTTTGCCATGAAAATAGAAATTGGGGGGAAGGGGGGGTACAGTGGGAATTTCATTGAAGGTATCACTAGATAGGGACATTTTCTAGTGTACTAAACAAAATATATTTATACAAGCAAAAATGTAGCACTTTAAAATGGAACATTTCAGACGTTAGCACCATAACAGCTGGCTGTATTGCTTATGGTGTCAGGAGTGCCCTGAGGATGTCCCACTGTAAGCAAACAGCATTAAAACTGTTTGACAATATAACTGGGCTCCACACGGTGTATGCTTCTGGTCTTCATCCTGCAGGAAAACTCAGTTTGCTCTATAGAGCTAAGCAGGGCTGTTCAGGACCATGCTCACTGGTTGAGTGTCAGCCAAGGAGTACAGTACTGCATTGGCTATGCATCTGGCTTCTCCTTATATACTTAGTACTTACTGTGTGATGGAACCATAATCACTACAGCAGGCAATAGTTGTTTTAGTGCTTGAAGGGGTCCTTTAAAGAGATTTCTACAGCATTATTGCAATTTTGCTTCACCACTCGCAACAGCTGAAGCAAACTTGTGTCTGGCATCTCATTGTGCATGTGTGGGATTATCTATTGAGGATCCCACGGTCTTGTGGGACCGATTTATGGACACTTTTTTATACACTATTGATGTGGCTCCTGAGAATTTCCAACTGCCAGGAACTAAAGATGGACCTGAAAATGGAAGTGCTGGCAAGTGAGAGCTTGAGTAGCTATATCCATTGTCTCCCACCTCACCATAGGTGCCACTATGCAATCAAAAAATGGTCTCTATGTTGAATTCAGTGGTATTAAAAAAAAAAAAAAAATATTATACTTTAATCTACAGTTGAAAGAACACATTCTAATTGTAGTTGATATGTATTTAGAATATTAACACCAGTACTCTCTTAACTCCTTCCTAGTAGAATGACCAAATGGTGTCTTGGCCCAAATTCTCCATGATGTCACCTACTAGTGAAATACCTTCTGCATTCAGGTACAGTTCATTGTGGAGAGGTTTTCCCCCCCCAGTGACAGTAAGACCTGGGAGTCGTGAAAAGCTCCAAACAGATCACTCACTGCAAAGCATGATGGGTGATAGGCACGGTGCTTCATTTAAAGCCTATTGCGGTGTATGATCAGGCAGAGGAAACCCCTAAAACATATCATGAAAGCATGACAGTAGAATTTAGCAGCAGAGAAGTAAATATAATCACTCATGCAGTTATCACACTGTACAAAGCACTCACAGTTAACTACTGGGGTAAACTGGTGAAATACCTCTTGATGATAGTACTGTAAAAGGACAATGCTGACAGAATTAATAGTGGGATTAGGGTTGGGGGATACCTGCCTTCATATCACTGGGTATTATATCTCCTATATAAGAAATATTAAATACATATAGATTTACTACACACACACACACACAACGATCTTACCAGGATACACAAGGAAATCTCCACCAAACTTGTTCCCACTTGTAAGAAAATAGCCTCGCTCCCAAAGATCCTTAAAAACCTTATAGCGCAGTTCATGTTCTGCTTGTCCAGCATACGGCCAGTCTACAGAGGCTTGGTGCAAATCCACTTCTTGCACTTTCCCAACAGACGTACGAGCAGTTGGCAGGTGCACCATCATTGCTTCCTGAGGAAAGTTGAATGTCTCTGCAAGGTCCTGAAGCTCTTTAATAGGACCCTGGGGAGATGACTCCATTGGTGTCTCTAGAACAAAAGACAATAGATCGAAAAACAAACAAAAAAAAAAAAAAAAAACAGTTACCTTACACATTGAGGGAAGGGATACTTATAGCAAATGTATGAGGATGATGCAATTACTGTGTTTTACACTAGCTTGCTTTATATGAACCTTGTAGGAAATTTACAAGTTCCATTTTCACATTATTACTCGTATAGGAAAATACATTATTTAAATACCTTACCAAGTCAAAGAATTTTTTTTTTTTTTTAGAATTCTATCTACAAAGTTGTGTTTTTAGCCTTACGTGCATTCTCCCTATTAAGCGTCATAATGCCAAGTGGCTTACTTTGCCTTGTAAGTTTCTTAGACTATAGGCATTAAAACAACTTCAGCTTAATGAAGCAGTTTTGTTTTACAGATCATTCCCCGGAAGACTGACTGCTCAATTATCTGCCGTGTAGGAGTTAAATCACTTTGTTTATACAGCCCTAGTCACACCTCCCTTCATGTAACGTGCACAGCTTTCCTAAACACTTCCTGTAAAGTGAAATCTAATGTTTGAACTTTATTTATTGAACATTTGGTTTAATTTAGAATTTCTTATAATCTAAGTTAGTAACTGTATGTAATTAAAGTTTAATTTACAAAGCAGGAGAAACATTTCTAAAACAATAACACCTGATTGAAACTGAAACCATTTTATTTCACACAGTCTGCGCGAGTCACTGCCAGAGGAGGTGTGGTTAGGGCTGCATAAACATAAACAAAAGTGATTTACGTCCTAAATGGCAGATAATTAAGCAGTGAAACTATAGGGGCATGATCAATACACTAAAACGGACAGTAAGCAGATGTTTTGGTGCCTATCGTGTCCCTTTAAATGCATGGACGAAATATTAATAACTTTTGTTGCTCAGAGTCAACTTTATTATCACTGTAGAGTGCACATACAGAGATAATGAGACACAGTTGGCCTCTGATCAGAAATACAGGAGCGCTTAATAAAATATGCTAAATTTAAAAAAAATTCTCAGTGTAAAATTTAGCCTCATGCCATACTACATTTAATACTAAGAAATATAATTGCTTCATTAATAATAAACAAACAATAGACAGGAATATCAGGAGGAGTAGGAATCAATATGTAGTATCCTTGGGAGTGAGAGCCCTAAGTGGGCTTAAAAAGAGAAAGAATAGATAATTGTTCTTTGAAAGTGAGAATCCACCCTAGGGTTGGTCCAGTAAAACTTAACTTTTAATAAATATAATACAATACAGTAACTAAAACCGAACACTATAAACAATTAAAACAAAACAGCATAGGACACAGGAAGATCTGGAGTGAGGGGATTATCTTCTAAACAGTGCCTTGTGGCAGCAGTTAGGCTCACTCCAAATCCAAGTATAATAACTGATACCTGATGTCTCAACAGACAATCCTCGTATGATACAATAGCTTGGTTAAGAGGAGAGTGGTGTAGCGAACATTGTGGTAAAATATTCAAACATGTTAGCAAGCTGTACTATATTTAACATAAAAGTTCTACAGAGAGCAATCTTACTTTTATGTAGGTTCCCCTCTGATGAGCCAGAGTGGCGAAACTCACATCATGGTTACGGACAGGCGCTTTTTCCCAGCCACTGAACCAGCAGTATGTTCTTGATCTACATTTCAACTGTTTGAATAAAAGCGGTCATATATTAACCGAGCTTTGGCGCGTCCCCCTTAACGTCTCCGATCACCCATTGTAGTTCGATAGGCTTTATATCCTACTTACTTTTATGTACCGACTAGGTAGTCGAGGTGGGTGGTATTTTTTCCATACAGTGAGGTTTGGATTTTTTGCTTAAGGGGTGCCCTCGAAGACACAGTTCTACTATAGGGCATCTTCCCTATCACTGAATCATAAGCTCCTAAACCCACCTCCCCCTCCCCCCCCCCTTTTTTTTTTTGCAGTCTGTAGAAATTTCACATTAAATATAGTACAGCTTGCTAACATGTTTCAATATTTTACCACAATGTTTGCTATACCACTCTCCTCCTAACCAAGCTATTGTATCATACGAGGATTTTATAGTGAGACATGAGGTATCAGTTATTATACTTGGATTTGGATTGAGCCTAACCACTGCCACAAGGCACTGTTTAGAAGATAATCCCCTCACTTCAGATCTTCCCATGTCCTATGCTGTTTTGTTTTAATTGTATATAGTGAACATTGGTTTGGGTGTTCGGTTTTAGTTACTGTATTGTATTATATTTATTAAAAGTTAAGTTTTAATGGAACCATTATCTATTCTTTCTCTTTTTAAGACCACTTATGGCTCCCACTCCCAAGGATACTACATATATTTTCCTACTTCTCCTAATATTCCAGTCTATTGTTTATTCATTATTAGTGAATTTATTCACTAGGAGTTACCCCCCATTCAGGAGGTTAATTAGCCTATATCTGTACTCTAATTGTCACATTATTAATAAAGATAAAAAAAAAAAAAAAAAGCCTAATAATACATAAAGACATTGCACAATAGTGCCACCAAAATAATACAATTAAGCTATATATAGCCGTTAATATACATTATTTAGTGTGCTAAAGGCAACACATACTACACCCTGTTCCAAATTATTATGCAAATTCTATTTAAGTGTCACAAAGATTAAATATTTTGTTTTTCAGTTTAACTCATGGATGGCATTGTGTCTCAGGGCTCTTTTGATCACTGAAACAAATCTTGGACACCTGTGATAATTAGATTGCCAAGTGAGCCCAATTTAAGGAAAAACTACTAAAGGAGGGTGTTCCACATTATTTAGCAGAGCACCATTTTCATGCAATATGGGGAAGAAAAAGGATCTCTCTGCTGCCAAAAAGAGTAAAATAATCATTGCCTTGGACGAGGTATGAAAACATTAGATATTCCACGAAAACTTAAGCGTGATCATCGCACTATTAAGAGATTTGTGGCTGATTCAGAGCACAGACGGGTTCGTGCAGATAAAGGCACATTGAGGAAAATTTCTGCCAGATCCATGCATCGGATCAAGAGAGCAGCTGCTAAAATACCATTACATAGCAGCAAACAGATATTTGAAGCTGCTGGTGCCTCTGGAGTCCCACGGACATCAAGGTGTAGAGTCCTCCAGAGTCTTGCAACTGTGCATAAACCTTCTATTAGGCCACCACTCACAAGCAGAAATGGCTGCATTGGGCAGAAAAATACATGAAGACTAATTTCAAACAGTCCTGTTCACTGATGAGTGCCATGCAACCCTGGATGGTCCAGATAGATGGAGTAGTGGATGGTTGGTGGACGGCCACCCTGTTCCAAAAAGGCTGCGACGTCAGAAAGGCGGTGGTGGAGTCATGATTTGGGCCGGAATCATGGGAAGAGAGCTGGTCGGCCTTTTTAGGGTCCCCAAAGGTGTAAAGATGACCTCTGCAAATGCATGTGGAGTTTCTGACTGACCCCTTTCTTCCCTGGTACAGAGGGAAGAACTATGCTTTCCGTAATAAAATCATTTTCATGCATGACAATGTACCATCTCATGCTGCAAAGAATACCTCTGCATCAATGGCTGCTATGGGGATAAAAGGAGAGAAAGTCATGGTGTGGCCTCCATCCTCCCCTGACCTTACTCCAATTGAGAACCTTTGGAGCATCCTCAAGCAAAAGATCTATGAGGGTGGGAGGCAGTTTACATCCAAACAGCAGCTCTGGGAGGCTATTCGGACATCTTGCAAACAAATTCATACAGAAACTGTCCAAAAACTCACAAGTTCATTGGATGCAAGACTTGTGAAGCTGCTATCAAATAAGGGGTCCTATGTTAAAATGGAACGTGACCTGTTAAAATGTTTAAAATGTTAAACTGTTGTTATAAGTTTGATTGAAATAGCTTTTGATTTCAGTAAATATGCTGCAAACACAACAAATGACAATTTTCAGTTCTTTACAACCTATAAAGTGTTTTGAAACTTAATGTGTGTAATAATTTGGAACAGTGCATTGTAAGTTTATGTTTAAAAAAAATACTGTTATCGTTAGGAGGTTTGTTCAATAAAATTTGAATTGTCCTCTTAATAGTTGATAACATGAGAATTATGCTGACTGTTATTTACATCAATTATTTAGGTAAATGAGAAAAATATAATTTGCATAATAATTTGGAACAGGGTGTACAAGAAAACCACAGATGTTTGTGTGAGAAGATCCTAAATAATGCTACCAGTCGTGAGACTATAAAATAAACTTTGGTAACGTGTGGTTCATACCATTCTGTATTTTCAAGAGTCATGCTACAGATGACAAGTGACATCTCATCATAAATTATCTTAGAGGCCTTTCTATTTTTCCTTTTCATTGGAATTATCCATTTTAAAAATCTGTTCAAATAGTGCTTTAAAAAAAAAAAAAAAAAACATTTTTAATGACTTTCTTTCATTGGGTACATAGCATCATTTCGGAGTTCAAAAGAGCCATTTCATCATTCCTGCACAGTGGAAAGCTGGAATCTACTCAGCAATCCACAGATTCTGATATTCTATGTTCTCTTTCCACATGGTGCCATCACATATCAAGTAAAATTGGCATCCAATTCCTTGGTGATTACCATCACATACAATGGTAAATGGCAACTGCTGATAAATTATAGCTTGCTTGGGGGAAAATAAAATATAAATTTTAGTGGCAATCCTACTTTAATGTTATGACACATTAAATTGTTTAAAACCATGCTTGTTGTGTGGAAATCCCCCACACTATAGAAGATTCTTCTCTATGGATATATAGATATATATTATAATTATTATTATTTTTTTTAAACAGCTTAATTGTGTATGATGGTATGATTAAAAAAAAGAAAAAAAATTTTTTTACTTACCGTAAATTTTTTTTTCCAGAAGATTAGAGGCAGTGCTTTACAACTGGGATTTCATCATCTGGAGGGAAAAATAGGCAGGCAATCTCCTAAACTTTTCAAGAACCTCCCAATTAACCTTTGGCCTTATAAATTGCTTCCTACCCAAGACATCCCCAGAAATTACAAAAGCCGAATAACCGTACCACTCAGACTATGAAAAAATTTGGGGGAGGGGAAACCCTGCCTCTAATCTTCTGGAAAAAGAAATACTCAAAAGACTCAATTCTCACTGCAAAAAACCTGCGACCAAAGTTGTATCTTCCAAGGTCAACAGAAATGAGTGAATAGATCACCCCGTGGCTGTTAGGAATTCGAGAGAATGTATAGCAGAAGCCCTCAGGCACCCGATCTGAACATAACTGTGATCGAAGGAGCTTCAATGGAGATAGGTGTTAGATAAGAAAAAAAACCAAAGGAATGCAGACCTTTAAGGTACCATAGACGAGAACTAAAATGCCCAGGCAGTGGAATTAGAATTCCAAGACCCTAGAACACTGTTGGGAAAAGTTAGAAAAAATAAAGATAGATGGAAGATTGGGAAGAATTAAAAAAATCCAACTTAACTCTGCTTTCTCCTGCTGAAAATAGAAACTTGAAGAACTTTAAGTTCTTCTCAAAAATATTTTGGGCGACTAACACCAAAGACCTAGAGTGAAGACTCAAATCAGCAGAGTTAAAAACCCCAAAAGAAGATCCCCTGTGGAAAAGATTCCCTGAAGATAGGAACTAACCACGAAAGAGCCTAGCAGATACTGGTGATTTGGAGACAAACCTCTGAAAACTGATAACCGAAATTTGACCTTAAGGATCTCTGGCTTTAAACCATCCGAAGAAGAAAAAAAAAAAAAAGAAGGTTAAAAACTTGGAAGCGGATGCCTGCTTTTCTTTGAACCAATATCTTAAAAACAACACCTTCCATACTTAGAATAAATCTTGGAACAAGATCCATTTATAGTAAAAGAAATTGTCAATAATTTCCTGAGACAAAACATTATCCTTCAGTATCTGGTATACATAAACCAGGTTGTCAGCTTGAATTACACCAAATTTGAGAAGCGGTACCCTTGAGAATTCCATGATGCCTATTTACAGGTAAGGTCCCCAAAGATTCCTCCGGATAATTTTTGATGAACGGTGAGCTACTTGCCACCAAGGGAGGAAGACTATCATTCTCACCTTTTCCATCCTATAGGATCTTGGGGAATAGGGAACCAGGAGGAAACTGTAGGTTAGACTGGAATTCCCAAGAAAGAAATGGAAACCAAAGCTTACTGGTCTGTCCAAGCTTGTCTAATGAAACACTTCATGCTATCTGTTTGATCTAGAAGTCCCAGTTCCATAACTGGATAATCAAATTCTTCCTATCAATTGGGTGAAGATCAGGAAGTACAAACCAATCTGCTTTGTATTAAATGTTGACTACTCAATGCTACAGCTAAACAGATGAATATTAAGTTCTATGCATAAGTGAATAAACCTAAGAATAACTAACCGAAGCATATCCTGGAACAAGATTTTTCAAACAAGATGACCTTGTTTGTACATAATTGCTACCGATGTAGAACTATTCGACCAGATTTGGACAAGATAATACCTGGTCTTTAACTGAAAGGCAAAGAGAGCTAGCCAGATAGCCTTCGGTCCTATGTAGATGGATAAGTTTTTACAAATTATCTCAGCTAATTTCCCTTCAACCCTATGAGAACCTAGCTGAGACCTGAAGCATCAGTCGTAAAATTCTGAACGTTTGATTTGAGAACTAGAACAAAAAGTAAGAACCGTCTGGCATCCTTCATTTCTGCCTGGTTCAGAAAGGAATGACCGAAGTATAGAATTTTACTGTAAAATCTTATTAGCAACTGTATCTGGCCACTGAAGGACCTGTAAACAGTGCTATGCCTGTTGTGGACAAAAATATTAACCCAATTCATATTAATAAAATGCCTATTTACTCAGCATAACCACAATCAGCATTATTCAAACTTATGCGTGATTTACTTAAAATGGCCGCTAGGGAGTTTCCCTTTGACATCGACTAACACCCTCATTAACAAGATGGCGCTGGAATCTGGGGGAGACCTACAAGATACCAGTGACATCACACCCGGTAGGAAGGGCACTAAATGAACCACCTAACACCTAACCAATTATTGATGTATTATTCCATGTTATCTCTGACAATGCATATGATGTAATTTTGCTTTATAAGGGGCATGCCGTCCCAACAGAATAAACTTTCCTCAAGTTTTTCATTAACCCGAAACCTGTGTCTGGTGTGAATTACTTCAGGAACGTGCACGCATCTTTTTAAATTTGGCCTGGGGCAGATACGCAAGATAATCGATTGATTGATTCCACGTCAATGCCTAAAGAAACTGAAGAGACCAAGCAGGTTCTTACAAGACGGGAACCAATATTATTTCCCTAGTATATTGTCTACTGAATTAGAAAAGAGATTTCAGGTGATAAAGACAGAGAGAACCACACATTTTTTTTCTTCAGGGAATTACCATTCTCTGAGAGTCAAAAAACCTTGTCAAAATATTTACACCTGAACTGTTCCTTGACAAAACACCAGAACTGCACACTTCGAAGATTGATTAGCATCCACCTGTATGCTGTAGAAACACCCTAACCTTTAGGGGCTGGTGTATAAAAATTAGTTAGGTGTCCCTGAGGAAGTAGTATTGTAGAGATTCAACAAATTTTTGGATGGAAACATTTTGATAGTGAAAGAATCTCAAGTGGCAATTGCCATAAGCTTTTTCTTAAAAGAAAACTGCAGACAAGCCTAGGCAGTAAACTATCCCAGTCAAATCGTATCTATTGCAGTGCAGAGAACAAACTGAACCTGGTGGAACTACACCATGATCAATAGGCTTGCAGCTGTACTAGAACTTGCTTCAAGCACAGTAACATGAGGAAGAAATAATTTTCCATGGAGACTAGTTCATACAGGTTACCATCTTTATTGGCGGAAGCGAGACTGATTACATAGATATACAGTCTGCATAAGACAATACCCATGATCCAACTGCATTTAAAACCTGTTTGATGCAGACTCTGCAAGAACCAATATTAGGAAGCATTTTCTATAAAATTACCATTCCAACAATCAGTTAGCTCAAACCTATCTGACAACATAGGACTTGGAATTTAAGATAAACCATAAAATGTGCAACCATGGAGTGAAGCACAGGAAAAGTTCTGCCCCAGCTGAAAAATAGACTGCCTTTTTAGAAACTGATATCAGGTGAAACTAGTTGAGGTGGTGAGAATGCCAATTGCAACAGAGCTTTGTCTACAGCAATTGCTAAAAGCCTACTGCATGTTTAAGAAAAACACTGCAGCTAGGATCCTGGCATTTAAAGAATCCATCTACTACAACAGTATATTAACTTAACCAAAACCAGATTTTAAATATCAGCCTCCTAAGGATAACATACAAAGGATAATCCTCCAATAGTCATACAGGTCTTGCTCTTGTGAATATATTCCACCAAACACTTCACTTTAATTGCTGACCATGTTGCAGAAATTAGGGATTATTGAAACCCATATTAACTAATCACTGTGTAACAGCTAATTTGAGCCAGAAAGGAAACTTAAATTTATAAAAGTATATGCTATCTAATACCTTTTATAGGCTTACTTAAAGAATAATCTATTTTGGGCCCGATCTACTAAGTGCTTACCCTTTCAAAGCACTATTTGTTTTAAGATTTTAGTAATAATCTTTAAGTGATGAGAAGCTAAAAACTCTCCAATTTAGAAACCTTTGCGCTTTTTTAGCTTATCCATCTTGCAGCACAGATAATTAACTTATTCAGGCTAGAGTCATTTAAGATAAAGCAAAAATGCTTAAATGTCCTCAGTGTGTTGGAGGTTGGTGAGAACACACTTGCAACAGATTCTGAGGGCACCTGGCAACAGTTTGTTGCTGCTGGGTAAACAGCCTCTCTAAGTCCTGGAAACCAACATCTTGACCCCGGAGAGAAAAAAATAAAGATATTGGCGCCTGAATTTTAAAATCGCATTACGCATGTCCTGCATTACCGCTAGGACTTCCCAGCTAGTGCCCAAATGCAAACCATCGTCTGCCCGGCACCTGGCTCGATATAGACGGAAGAAATACAACCCGGGGAGATACAGCCGTCTGGTGTGTTATCCCTGGCCGATCTCTGAAAAATGTATTTAAAAGAAGAAGTAAAGCCTCCAGAGCCTCAGCCCTCTCACCATACTTCTAGGGAGAAAACCTGACCTGACACCCTCCTCTGCCAGAGGCAGGCAAAGAACGGGGATGTCTTGGGTAGGAAGCAATTTAGAAGGCCAAAGGTTAATTGGGGGAGGTTCTTGAAAAGTTTAGGAGATTGCCTGCCTGTTTTTTCCCTCCAGGTGATGAAATCCCTAGTTGTAAAGCACTGCCTCTAATCTGAAGGGAAAAATTAGGTACATCATGAAAATCATTCATCCTATTATGCACAAATATAAGATCTGTGATCTTAAAGGAACACTCAAAGCACCATAACCCCTACAGCCTTGGAGCTTCTGGCTCGAGAGAAGACGGTGACTATTGTACCCTAAGTAGGTTGTCAAACAGTTAGTAAATAATTTGACTACTTAAAGTGGGCTTTAGTGGTTCTGGTTCTAGGAGTATTCCTTTAAACAAAATTACTGGATTTTGCATAATGTTGGAGCAGCATATTAATTGGGATCTTTGCCTTTGATGGTCTGTTGGAACTAAACCTCTACAAAATCTTTCTAGAATACACATAGTGAATTCTATATGTCCCTTATTGCCCACCTTCTTCATTATCATTCTTTCGCTTTCTCTTGGTTCTCCCTTCCACAATACGATCGGACAAGCTTTCCAATATACGTCGTTTCTCTTGCAGAGCCAAACTCCTTTGTTCCGTGTAACTGTCCTGTAAATATTGTTTATAAGCATCCACCTCTGACTGCACATTGTCCTCATCTTCTACGGAAGAAAGAGAACTTATCTTGTCCTGCAATTAGATTAAACAATTATAAATGCAGTGTCACTATGCAATTATCTGGTCATAACAAATGATGCCATCACCATTTGTGTACAATCATAATTTTTATAATAATGTCTTGCAGTGTTCAATAACATACTAATTTAAAGTGAACCTGTAATAAAAATATATACATTTTTAAAAAGTACTTTCCTTAAAAACAGCTCCAAATACAATTATTACACCATGTTTCACAGAAATACATGATGTATTCAATGTAACATATTGAAATATACTCAGCTCCATTCCGCCATCTTCCGAGCTTACGCTTTGTGTAACACTCACCTCTAGTCTTCTGTGTTTTGCCCTGCTTTGGAACACTTCGACAAGCAGGGCAATCTTCCTTTGTGATGCCAACACACTGGCTTTGTTGCCAGCATCTGAACTGAGTAATATCAGTTACTCCGTTCCCTTACTTCCTGGCCAGCGCTAGCAGTATGGGCTACAGAGTTTCCATAGAAACCACAGCCCATGTGCTCTGGTTGCCTTTCTGGGGAGAGCAAAAGGATCACTTCTGCTCTCCTTTATCAGTCAGATTGTCAGCATAGGCTCTATGTTGAAGATTTGACTTAGAGGTAAGAGAAAGACCTATTTCTAAGCAAGATTTTGTCTTAATCTATACATTTGCTAGCAAATCTATTATTTAAAGGTTATGCTTTCCCAAACGCCGGCCCTCCAGATGTTGCTGAACTACAACCCCCATGATTCTATGAATGGAATAGATAGGCTGAGAATCATGGGAGTTGTGGTTCAGCAACATCTGGAGGGCCAGAGTTTGGGGAAGCCTGCTTTAGAGAGTATAATCTTTATTAAATCCATAGAAACTATGGTATTTTTATATTCTGATTTTCAAATTAATTAGACTTTTCCTTTTCTGAATCACTGTATATTTCATAGAACTAGATATTGGTTCTGCCTTTTTCCTCTGTAGTATGGCACTTGATTTTACTAGAATTAGTGTGTGTGTGTGTGTATATATATATATATATATATAATCACAATAGTTTCTGGCACTCATCCCATAGCAAAAGCATTAATTCAGCAATGACCAGGTGCCTCTCCGTGCAAAATATACAAATGGAACAAATTGAGAGCACTCATTGGATTTAGTAAACAAAAAAAAAATATTAAATCAAACGCATATAAATCAACGTTTCGACCGTCTAGCGGTCTTTATCAAGATCATTGATAAAGACCGCTAGACGGTCGAAACGTTGATTTAATATATTTTTTTTGTTTACTAAATCCAATGAGTGCTCTCAATTTGTTCCATGTGTGTGTGTGTGTGTGTGTGTGTGTGTGTGTGTGTGTGTGTGTGTGTGTATATATATATATATATATATATATATATATACACATATACATATATACACATATACATATACACATATACACACACACACACATATACACACACATACACGCTCTCTGGTAAAAATATGTATGATGGCACGGAAGAGTTAATTTGGGTAGTGATGTCCCGAATGGTTCGCCGCGGAGTCATCATTGAGTAAACCTTGACCCTGTACCTCACAGTCAGCAGACACATTCCAGCCAATCAGCAGCAGACCCTCCCTCCCAGACAGCTCACTAAGAATGCAGCTTCACAATGGATGCTGTCCAGGAGATGGGAGGGTCTGGGAGGGAGGGTCTGCTGCTGATTGGCTGGAATGTGTCTGCTGACTGTGAGGTACAGGGTCAAAGTTTACTCAATGATGAGTCCGCGGCGAACCGTTCGGGACATCACTAAATTTGGGGTTTAGGTTATCTCTAGCTTAAAGGACCACTATAGTGCCAGGAAAACATACTCGTTTTCCTGGCACTATAGTGCCCCAGAGCCCCCACCCTCAGGGTCCCCCTCCCGCCGGGCTCTGGGGAGAGGAAAGGGGTTAAAACTTACCTTTCTCCAGCGCTGGACAGGGAGCTCTCCTCCTCCGATCCTCCTCCTCTCCTCCCTTTTGGCTGAATGCTCATGCACAGCAAAAGCTGCGCGCGCATTCAGCTGGTCTCATACATTACAATGCTTTCCTAAGGACGCTTGCGTGTTCTCACTGTGATTTTCACAGTGAGACTCACGCAAGCGCCTCTAGCGGCTGTCAACGAGACAGCCACTAGAGGATTTGAGGGCTGGATTAACCTGAATATAAACCTAGCAGTTTCTCTGAAACTGCTATGTTTATAAAAAAAATGGGTTAACCCTAGCTGGACCTGGCACCCAGACCACTTCATTAAGCTGAAGTGGTGTGGGTGCCTAGAGTGGTCCTTTAAAGGGACACTCCAGGCACCCAGACCACTTCTGCCCATTGGAGTGGTCTGGGTGCCAACTCACACTACCCTTAACCCTGCAACTGTAAATATTGCAGTTTTCATAAACTGCAATATTTACATTGCAGGGTTAACTCCTCCTCTAGTGGCTGTCTACTAGACAGCCACTAGAGGGCACTTCCGGGTTTATAGCACAGATTTTCTGTGCTATAGCGTCGCTAGACGTCCTCACGCTATGTGAGGACCTCCAGCATTGCTGAAATCCCCATAGGAAAGCATTGAAAGCTTTAATCCCTTCAGCAACTTAGGATGGGGGGTGGGATTGTTTTCCTGGCACTGGAGTGTCCCTTTAACTTTGCTTAAAGGGACACTATAGTCACCAAGACAACTACAGCTTAGTATATTTGTTCTGGTGAGTATAATCATTACCTGCAGGTTTTTTGCAGTAAACACTGTCTTTTCAGAGAAAATTACAGCCTAGTGATACTTCCACTAACACTCCTCAGATGGCTACTAGAGGTACTTCCTGGGGTAGTGCTGCACACGGTGCAGCACTGCCATTCAGTGTCTCCACCCTCTGCATGGAGACAATGAACTTTCCTCATAGAGATGCATTGATTCAATGCATCTCTATGAGGAGATGCTGATTGGCCAGGGCTGTGTTTGGGGAAGCATTGTGTTTGGCTCAGAGAATCACTTCGAAGCAGCTGCAGACTACAAGTAAGAATAAAAGTAAGGTTTTACTATATTTAGGAGAGTAAGGGTGGGTCAGGTGGGCTAGATAGTGTATTTTTAACACTATACAGAGTCAGGAATAGTTGCAGGGTAGGTTGAACGTTTTAGTTTATAGTTAGGCTGGCTAGTCTCTGGGCAGATTTCAGTGACCAGCCTGTTGGTGGGGACTGGGGACTATTCAGTAAGGATCGACTGATTATTGGTCTGGCTAATATTATGGGCAATACGGGTATTGACATATAATGATACCGATATTGCGGGTAAAGGCGTGGAGGCAGAGGCACAGCAAACGTGATCTACAGCTCCTCTCTCCAACTCTCGCGAGTTCCCGACTGTCTAGTGTTCACTAGAGTTGGAGCGAGAAAGTGCTCTCGAGAGTTGGAGAGAGAACCTGCCAGAACCTGCAGGTCAGCCTGCACAAAGCCACAGGACAGACAGGATATTAACAGGGAGGGGGAGGAATATCGGTACCAGTTATTTATTATCAGCCTAAAAAAGGACAGGTATTGGCCCTAAAAACAAAATCAATATCAGTTGATCCCTACTGTTCAGGGATTGGTCAGCGGCATTGTGAGCACTAATTGTCAAAAAAAAGTACACTTATAAATATCCCTGGCATTAGCACAATCCTGTCAATGCTGCTGAAAAAGCAAACTGTGCTGCCGGAACTCTTCAATCTCCCTGTTTGCGGGATTGTAGGGAAAAAAGTCATCCTTAGGGTTAATAGTAAAGGATGGACTTAATGGAAACTTGTTTAAGTGATGTTCAGTTAACTATGACTGGCAATGGAGAAATGGCTTAATAAGTCAGCCAGTGTTCCCCCATGTGGCCAGACATGAAAAATATATTTTATGGTTATGACAAGATTGAGGTTATGTACATTCAGTTATAATGCTTCCCAAAACCCCAAATCAAGCTTGCAGCAGCACTATGCATAGAAAAACGGCAGTATTTCTCCTGTTTTCTGAAATCTATTTCTAAGTGGAAAAAGATAGTCCATGTTTTACCCAGGGCAATTTATACAAAGCCATGACAGTATTCACTATGCTTATAAACAAAGTAGGTTTGCTTACCTTAAGATATAATATGCTTTAAACTGTACAGGTGTTTAGAATGTTACATTATACAAACCTGATTTTCATTTCAATCATAAGACAATAACTTTTATTAAGAAACCATACAACAAAACCATATTGTAATCCATCTATTAGTTATCACTGAGCAGCACTGATGATGTTGCTGTTATGCAGGAGTGCAGCAGAGGCAAGATTTTTTTTTTTATTTTTTTTTATAGTGTTTACTATAATGAAATAACAAGGAACGGTTATTTCTCTGGAAGTGACTTTAATGACTATGGTTTAATTTTATGAGTATTTAGACATTAAACTAAGCACTAATTATTTTGTTTTTCATTATTAAGGGATAGCATTAAATTGAGTTTTTCTTTTACTTTAAAACACCCCTTCTACATGTAATCTTCTTTCTATATAATATGGAAAAAATATAATTACTGTTAAAAGGTACCTACCACAGACAGGTCATCCTCTTTTGAATTGGCCTTTTGACTCGAGCAGTTGCGCACAAGAGTCGCTGCGCCAATCTCTACCAGAAGACGTGTTTCCTCGGGCAAAAGTTCCAGTGGGAGGCCAAGTCGCAAATTCTGTCGAGGCTTTCTCACCAGAGCCCCGACTAGGTTTCCTACCAGCCCATGCTTCTCCCGGATTTCTTTTACATCCTCTGCATTCCACACTAAGGCTTTGCCCTCCAGCAGACTAATTAGAATCATTGCGGTGTTTTATCTAAGTCAAAAACAAAATCAGCCGATTAACTAGTAACAAGCAAAAGGGTGATTACGCCAAACACAATGACCACTTTCAAGTTCCCTATCAGATGTATTGGAGACAGAAAGCAGTGCCTGGTGGACTCCAGGTAAGACGTTATACTGTTCTAAAATGGTCTGACCACTTCCCATCGGGGAGGTAATCAGAGCAATGATATATTAACCCCTAAAGTGTGCTGTACTGACTATGGTGCTTAGCGTGTTTTTGTAATAAAATGTCAAATTGTAGAGAACTGGAAACCAATTGGCAAAACTGAGGCTAACAAAAAAAAAAAAAAAAAGTTGTGACTATCATCAGGTTGCAAAATTCTTCCAAATAAACAATTGTTGCTTCTGTTTTGCCATTCAATTTTTTTACTACAATTCAGAAGATTAAAAAAAAAAAAAAATGTCAGCTCAGTTATAGGCACAACTTGGCTATCTTAGCCTCAAAGGGACAATATAGGGACACAAACCACATCATCTCATTGAAGTTGTCTGGGTGCAGTGTCCCTGTCCTCATTAGCCCTGCAATGTAACTCATTGGAAACCTAAGACTGCCTCTAGTGGCTGCCTCTATTTTCTAATGGGCCTCAGAGTTGGAAAAAGGTAACTGACAACAGGTGTTTTTTTTTTACCTTTTAACTGTCATTGGGAAGGGAGGGGGGGGAGACACTACCGTGTTAGGAATGAAACTTTGTATTCCTAATATTGTTTTGTTAAATTGTGCCTCTTGGATTTCATATTCTCTACAGATCAGAATTTAGTGAATAAGTTTGTAAAATTCCTAGTAACGAGCCATCCTTGTAAATTTGGGGCAAATCCATGCATACCTACACTAGCAATAACTGATTGTGTAATGAAAAGTTTAAAAAAATATGCACCTAATTTCCAAAGCTACGGTAATCTGTGCATTATTAAGGAATAGCGGAGGTTAGAGTTACAAATGGCATCATTGTTTAACACGGTTTACTATGGTGACACAGATAGTGTCAATTCATTAAGTAGGGTTTCTGTGAAGTAAGCAATGGGGCATGTCAAAATTAGCGCATGGCTGTAATATGACCGTATAGCTATATAGATTGGCAACTTACTTCCACATGAAGATTTTGCTAGTAAGTGGATAGAAGGTTGTCATCATCCAAATAACTAAAACAGAATTACATAATTGTAGATGGCCGCCTAATTTGCAATGTTTATGTGGGATTACCATATTTAAGATTTCCAAATAAGGGAGTTATCTGCTGAACATTTAAACATTGCAATTATACATAAGGGTACCATTGTAAGGTGTTATCTACTAAACAGCTGAAAATCTAAATTTGAGAAAAGGCATTTTTGCACATAATTGACATTAATCAGGCTGTAACTTTGTTCTGGGCTGGCTAATGACACTGCTGGAGATAGAGCACAGACAGACTCCGAGCACCATGACCACTTCAAATCACTTAAGTGGTCATGGTGCATGGAGAACCTTTTAACTCATAGTTGGTTCCCTTTTTAAAACTAAAAGGGTTTATTAACTAAACAGAGATTTGGGAAGCATTGCCTTTGAATGGGAAAGGCTATTCCATTAAATTAATGCTGGAAAAATATTTAAATTAAAATAATTTTTCCAATTCAGCTATTGCTATCTAAAATTTGGATACAAAATGTCAAATTTCACTGGTTTTGAATATTAACCCCAAAGGGTTTTTTGTGTGTGTGTGGAGCAATGCATGAACTGTTTACACTACTGCCACTATGAATTCTTCAAAAAGCAGGGAGTGCTTTTCATGCACATACCCACAGCAGAAAGCATCAGACTAGGTCACAAAATTAAAATTTTAGGCAACCTACCCGCAGCAGTTTAATTATTTTAATGTAATATACTGTCAACAACCTCTGACACAAGAACTGCAGAAACAGCAAATCCCAAGATGCTCAGCCATAGGGGGAAAAACTACATATCACAAGATGCTCAGCCACTGGAAAAAAGTATATATCCCAAGATGCTTAGCCATTGGAGAAACTACATATCCCAAGATGCTCAGCCACAGGGGGAGGGTGGGGGGGGGACTACATATGCCAAGATGCTCAGCCACGGGGGGGAAGACTACATATCTCAAGATGCTCAGCCACAGGGGGAAAAGACTACATATCCCAAGATGCTCAGCCACAAGGGGAAAAGACTACATATCCCAAGATGCTCAGCCACTGGGGAAAAAAACTACATAGCACAAGATGCTCAGCCATTGAAGACACTACATATCCCTAGATGCTTAGCCACAGGGGGGAAAAGACTACATATCCCAAGATGCTCAGCCACTGAAGAAACTACACACCCCAAGTTTCTTAACCACTGGAGAAACTGCATATCCCAAGATCCTCAGCCACTACAGAAACATGATCCCCCATAATGCTCAGCCACTACAGAAAATAAATAAAAAGTATAAATCTCAGGCACTCACTGTGATTGTATCAAGGCAGGTTTATATGCAACGTTTCGACCTGTCAAGGTCTTTATCAAGTATGCGCCACAGAAAATAAAGTCCCCATGAAGCCCCCCCACCCATGCCGTTCAGTCACTGCAAAACTGCTTACCTCCTGAAGACCAACCGCCGCAGAAACTACAGTCCCCGTGATGCTCTGCGGCTGCACCGGCACTGTAGTTATAGAGCAGCACAGAAGTTGCATGCCTGGTTAGAATGAGCTTCCCTCCTTCTTCCAAGCATTACAGAACATGTTTTCCGATACCTGCTTTCAGGCTGATTCATTGCTGCCTCAATCCTGTGAGTCCCATTATCTCTCACGTTTGGCCAGGATGTACACCAGCCATCTTGTGAATGGCTTCTCACATGCTGGGTGGAAGAATCAGCTCGGTTTCCTATTGGTTGGGTGCAGAAGTAGAGGCGGAGTTAGCAGGACAGCAAGCAGCGGGACAACCATAACAAACCCTGGGAGTGCTGCAATGTACTGTCTGCTAATAGTAATGGAAAAGTAGTCAGATACATTTGTGTTGACGTCCTCTAAGTACAAGACTAAACCCTGCAATAAAACTAAGACAGATCTACTATCCAGATGTCACAGCTGCGTGCATAGGCCAATACATTAATTTGGAATGGGTGCCCTGTCCCCCATTTCAAATGTGCAAAGAGGGACACTTTCATTTTAGGGTGTAAGTGAGGATATGGGCTGTTTTGATTAACAACAATTTATGCAACCATTTTAGTCACACACACAGATTTTTAAAAACCTTAAGTTGTAGTTTCAAAGGTTAGTCTGACTTTTTTTAAATGTATTTTTATTTTTTGCTATTTAGTAGATATGCCCCTCAAATAAAGCATGCATTTTTTTTCAGGCATGTTTTGTTTCGGAAAAACAAAAAGCTATGACAAGACCGCGCTTCCAATTATAAATTACAAATTAACAAAGCTGCAAGCCTTTATAATTCACACTGAAACAATTTATGTAAGTTGAACTAAAAGTCTCCAAAAATATTCCACTGACGCAGTAAGTGGAAATAAAGCAAATAGTCTTCACTATAGGAATCCCCTTGAGATCTGTTATGCAGATAAAGTTGAGAGTCAAACCTGTTGCTCTTTTTTGTTATTGTAATACGTACAAAATTACTCTACTTCTATTGTTACCCTACCTCTTTTTATATATTCACATGTATCTGACAGAGCATAAACTGCTCCAGTGTGAATTAAATAACATTTTTTATCTTTGCTTACAACTAGCCATAATGTAAATTTTGAAAGAGCTTTATTCACACAAATTGCATTTGTGTACATTTTGAAAGGCTGGCTTTTTTTTTTTTCAGAAATTGCTTAAGTGTTAATTTTTGGAGACTTTTTTTAGTTCAACTTACATAAATTGTTTCAGTGTGAATTATAAAGGCTTGCAGCTTTGTTTATTTCTTATTTATAATAGAAAGCTTGCACCAGCTTCCTCTACTATAGCTATTTATATAAGGTTTTTTCCCCTCTCTTTGTGCATTTCAGCTTAACTCATATGTGTTTTGTTTGGGGTATATGGAAAAAAGAGCTTGCAGAAGCTGCAGACCTACTGACTGCAGCCTTTGCAAGCCCTCCCCTCTTTCCCTAGCTGCAGAAGAATACACCAATGAGAGGCTTCTCAATGAGAAGCCTCTGTACATGCAATTGCAGCTTTCCACTGCTTCTCATTGAGCTGCAATACAGCTCATTAGCAGTGGGAGGCAGATGCGTTCCAGCACTGCACGCTTGCCACTTCAGTTAGCTTTGTGGAAGGAAACCAGGCCTCCCAACATTTCAAATGGAAAAGAGGGACACTTTAATCTTAGGGGTGTGAGTGGGGGTGTGTCCAAGTGCAGTGCTTCTATCCCACACTACATTCCTTACACATACATACTACATCCAAATATGCACACACAAACACTGCATATCCTACTCACTGCATTCCCCCTACACGCATTGACTATGAGTATAGTGTTAAAGAACCACTATAGTGCCAAGAAAACATACTTGTTTTCCTGGCACTATAGTGCCCTGAGGGTGCCCCCATCCTCAGGGTCCCTCTCCCGCCGGGCTCTGGGGAGAGGAAGGGGTTAAAATCTTACCTTTCTCCAGCGCTGGGCGGGGAGCTCTCCTCCTCCTCTCCTCCTCCATAGCGACGTCATCGGCTGAATGTGCATGCTGAATGTGCACGCGCGCATTCAGCCAGTTAAAATGCTTTCCTATGGACGCTGGCATCTTCTCACTGTGATTTTCACAGTGAGAAGCACGCAAGCGCCTCTAGCGGCTGTCAAGAGACAGCCACTAGAGGCTGGATTAACCATATTATAAACATAGCAGTTTCTCTGAAACTGCTATGTTTATATAAAAAAAAAGGGTTAATCCTAGATGGACCTGGCACCCAGACCACTTAATTAAGCTGAAGTGGTCTGGGTGCCTATAGTGGTAATTTAATAAGTATACATATCGGGTATCAGAAGAAAACCCTATCTGTCCTTTAAAAAACAATATGTAGTATGTATAGGGGTACTCAGAGTATGAGTTACACTATGGGAGACAAACACATAGTAAAAGTGCCATAAAGGCCTCAGTCACGAATAGATACAGATAGAG